CTAATGGGGTGTTATCCTCTCTCATTGGTAGTACTGGTTTTAACGATGCTTTAGCAAGGTTTGTAAGGCAGGAGTAAGCAAATTCAAGTCATACGGCCCCTAAATGCAGCGCATTATCCGTTATCTAACGATCAGGAGTACTGTGCTGCAGTCCCTCTTCTATCACACAGCGACTATATTTCACACCATAAGCATGAACTCCATTAGGGTAATTAGCACACAAAATGATCTAAAAGCGCAAATCACAAAACTGTAATTCGCTACTATTGTCAACTAGCTATAAGAGTACATTGGGGCAGTGTACGGCCACATGGTTTCGTCTGTTTATCCCAATTCAAATTGTTGCACGTGACCCACTATGGTGTGTCAGCTTATCTGCCAGTCGGAATTTATTTGAATACTTTGAGGTCCCTTTGGCTCTGTGGGCTGGGTACTTCACACATAAACAGATTTATCTGTGGTAATTCAATTTAGCATCTGATCTGAGTTCAGACATGAAGTGTAAGGAAGAAGGTGTCAGCAACCGCATGTTTTCGCTAACCCGTCCTGCTGCATGCAGCAAGGCAACCAGGCTGAGGGCACCACGCCACGGCCAATGTGGCATGAGAGTTTTGTCAACTGTCCTGACGACCTTCCAAACGATGTCCCAGAAGCTTTGCTGGTCTTAGATTATGTCAACAAATTCGTAACGAGTGATTAGAAAACAGGTATTTGGTTGTGCGGCAAGTGCTTTCATCAGAGAAAACATCCTACACCACCGACTACGACGGTGTGGTCATGTACTACGCATGTCAAAACATCCTCCCTATACAACCATCTATCACGACCTTTGGAAATAAGCCAATCTACCTGAGTTTACCGGATAACGGCGATATGTTGGCGGACACAGTCAATCGTCACTCATTTCAATCCCTACAACGCACGTTTTCGGTCGAAAATCTGCGGTCTTGGTTTACAAAACCCTTTGCTCAACTTAAAACCCAAAGGCAAGATGCTGGTCTTCATCCAGAATATGGTTGTTTATTTTTTCTCCGGCGGAGTATGTTGGGCGCACAACGTGGCAACTTTCTAAGAGAATACACAAGCACCTCTCACACTGGAATACCAATAACCTCAACAATTCAGCCAGAAGCTCAATTGCGTCCCAACTAATGACACAGGGGAAAACATCCTACACCACCGACTACGACGGTGTGGTCATGTACTACGCATGTCAAAACATCCTCCCTATACAACCATCTATCACGACCTTTGGAAATAAGCCAATCTACCTGAGTTTACCGGATAACGGCGATATGTTGGCGGACACAGTCAATCGTCACTCATTTCAATCCCTACAACGCACGTTTTCGGTCGAAAATCTGCGGTCTTGGTTTACAAAACCCTTTGCTCAACTTAAAACCCAAAGGCAAGATGCTGGTCTTCATCCAGAATATGGTTGTTTATTTTTTCTCCGGCGGAGTATGTTGGGCACACAACGTGGCAACTTTCTAAGAGAATACACAAGCACCTCTCACACTGGAATACCAATAACCTCAACAATTCAGCCAGAAGCTCAATTGCGTCCCAACTAATTGACACAGGGCGCGTAGTTATTCCAAATGAGTCATTTCAAGTCAATTTCCATGTACCAAATAGACTATCAGTATTTACTCAACGGTGTTGCTTGTCTTCGGCCGGGGCAGTCGCTATACTCCTGCGAAGCCCGATACTGTGCTGTCAATAACGTTTCGTACGAATACAAAAATCAATCGGTCAAGTCACTCAACAGCCCTCCTGACCGTCTTACAGTATCCAACTAGGTGTGGTACGGGAGGCGCAGATAAGCATTCGTTTGTGTCTCCACTTTTTGCATTTCACTAACCAATCTTCGCAGCGTATTCCATTTTTCGCTCCTTTTTTATGCATTAGATATGTAATGACCTGATAAAGAGATCCCAAAAACATTAATGCTCGTCACTGTGTTCTTTCCAAGCCGTGAGAATATTTAAGCAAAATACCGTCTACTGAGAACAGCTTTCTTTGTGCGTCCTTCAGAATGGCGCAAACCGCGACATGGACAGCGTGTGACTTGGCAGAAGGGCGTGAAAGAGACTACGAAGGGCCTGGGTCTTGGTATTGTTGTAGCATTACAGGATGGAGTTCCCTGGACCCCACCTGTAGTTAGCTGGAGACGTTGCAAAAATAGCGGCTAATCGATGTCAGTGACGTTCGTGCTATTGGTTACTCTCTAGACTGTTCGATGAAGCGGTTAGAGGTGTGGGCACCTCAGAATATCTAATATGGGCCATCAGAACGTTCCTCCCTCACCCACTCATTTTCTTCGTTCGTTTTTCGTTCAAAGAAGTTGAAGGCCCAAAGTTGGGCTTAGGTTGATCACTTGACACGGCTAAATAATCTGAGAGTTAAATTTGGGGCCGATATATCCATCTGGTTTTGCTTAACCATCGCCCAGTACTCTCCAAAATACTGTCCTAACTAAACCGTGATTGGTTAATTTTTTGTGACATAAATAGGTGAATTAAAAAATGAGTGAAGATAATCCGGAAATATCTCCTGTAGTCCCAAAAGCTTGAGATTCGCCAGTTATTGGGAATCCAAGAAAAAATGATCAGGTAAAGCACAGATGGAGTATCTTGGATAAAATAAATTTCAACTGGATGCATAAGTGCAAAAGACTCAAAACGATAATTTGGAGAAAGGCTGGCTATTGAATACCATCACGACCTCTGAGGAAAATAAAGTTTTTTCACAGCACTGCTGCTAGGAAAACATATCAGGGTAAAGCTTGCTAATTACCTTTGAGCTGTTGTTGAGTGCTGACCGCTGAAATCAAGAATGATCTTCGTCAACCACAGACTCTCTAAACACCGCTACAGATTGGAAGTCTTTGTAGGTGGTTGTATCCTATCTATCATTTTCAAAAATGTCGCAAATAACTCGTTTCAAGGTGCTCTTGGAATTGAATTTCGATAGGCGTTCTCCACTATATCCACTACGTTGAAATTTGTGACACAGCGCTTTGTAGATAACCGAAAGTTTGTAGATATATCTTGCCATTGCTAAACATTTTAAGAAACAAACGATTAGAAGATAATCTCCGGAAGCAAATTTGAAGTGAATGCTAAAACGATGGTATTCCCACGCCCTAAACAAATGAGTTTGCCTTTTCGAATGCCATGTGAGTGCGCCCGTTCAGTTTAGATCATTGCACAATTACGTCCTTGGTTCTAGTCTCACACCGATTTTGAGGTTTTACCAGGGACATCTGGGTGTAATGACTACGTGTAATGCAGTTCCGACTAAGTTATTCGGGCAGTAAGACCATATGAATGTCGAACTTCCAGACTATTGCAAATATTTGGAATAGTGCCACACTGTGTGTTTTCGGACCAATGAAAATAAGCCCTTTTGTTTGGTCTGATATCATTGGACTGTAAGTGCCCTGGCAGTCGATTCTTCAACTTGAGAAAACTGACATCAACTGAAGGTTCAAGAATAACTAAGCTCTCTAAGAAACGCAAGATCACTTTAGTTATGTGTATATCCTATTCTGGGTCAAGCGTCATATCTCACAGCACTCAGGACAATCCAAAGTATCCCGCATCGATGAATGTGTAAATGATTATTTCACGATACCGAGGTTCAAATAACAAGCGAAAAGAAAAAAGCACAGCAGTGGCATAAAACGCGATATGCGACTATGAACATGACCTTGCAAACTGTACGTAACAGCGAGTTCAGGTGCTGTAGAACAGTTCAAGATATATAAACACAATCTAGATTGTAGTTCAAAAACTCATCGATTTGATTGAAAGTTAGGTGATTTTCACAGGTCAGCTTAGTGCCTATAGTTTTCGTCATCAGTGTAAAATCCTTTGATAACATGGTTCGTAGTTCAAAAACTCATCGATTTGATTGAAAATTAGTTGATTTTCACAGGTCAGCTTAGTGTCTATAGTTTTCGTCATCAGTGTAAAAATCCTTTGGTAACATGGTTCATAAATTAGCTTCTTACGTCAAAGAATCCAATTTGGCAGACGCAAGGGCCTCCATTTGTTGTTATCTACTTATACCCTATCTGCAGTGCACATTTTACCACCTTCAAAACGCCCCGGATACACAACTTAGCAAACCATTTAAGCCGGTTTGTTTTTTGCTTGGAGCCAATCTTTCTCCAGTCCAAACACAGTGTTGCAGTTTTTGGCACGTCAACATACCGGCATGGCTTTAGTACTACACGCAGAGAGTGAGTGGGTCAATCAGAAGCCTATCTAGCTCGGTGCTTATCTTGTTGCACAACCTTGGACCCAATTGTGCTAATATCATCTTTTCACTTAGAAAGTTTTTTTGCTTACTTCTCACTTCGATTTGTGCATAAAAAACCGAGACTTTTGTAAATGCGTCGTGATTTTAAGATAGGATTGGACCGCTTTTAGTCTTGAATCTAAGGTAAGTTCGCTGTACCCTTCTTTCATTCATAGCTAGTCTAGGCACCCTAGCGTATTTGATTTTTGAAAAGCTATTAGCCGAGGCAGCCAGAAAGCTTCGGCAAGAACATGGCACTATGCAAGCATTAGGGTAAGAATCACGGTGCTTACCCATTCCCGCCCATACTGCTTGACGAGGTTGAAATTCAGTGTGGGAAGCGAGTAAGAGTCCACCGTCCCAAGACATTTGCAGTGCTGGGATAACTATTCACCAAGGGCATTTTAGAAAGTATTCACTCTTCACTGTGATCCGATTGGCAAATAAAAGTAAGCCTGCGAATTGACCGTAACGTTTGTGAATTAGGCAGTGCTTGGCCGCAGACCTGTCAATTTCTAATTAGCTTATAATCAACTTATGCTTCAGTTGTTTACATTCCTACAATAAATCGAGCGACTTTATCTTGGTAATTGTTCCTTTGAAGGAACATGGACTATTGGCATAGTTTACTAGTTCGCATGTTTCACTTGGTAATTACATACCTTCCTTTTTGTGTTTCTTACCGTCCGTAGAACGAAGTGATTGAGGAACAAGCGAAACGAATAAAAGAAGCAGAAAACAAGATAGCCATTCTACAAGCCGCACTCGATGTTCCTGGAACAGACAACAACCGAGTGGAAATTCTTCAGAACTGCTGCGAAAGATTGCAACGTCAAGTATTTCGGTGACTCCCTTTGACTCCACGATTTTCAAGGTCTTTGAAATGGAAGAATTCTTGCACGACTACGGTCTGGTTTGGGTTGGTACGCAAACGACGACAGACTTGACAAATCCATCTGAAAGCGGACCAATGGGCTTGAGATTTGGTAAGTTGTACGCTTGACCGAGGCGATTTCATTGGATCACAGGCACACCAGAAAAGAATAATGTTATATTCGACAAAATTGTTGCCAAAATTCATGCATTGAATGAGTGGGTTGGTCAGGATGAATTGGAAGTTTGTCGGGATCCAAAGTATGTGAATCGCGCGTATCTGAAGGAAAGACCAATGATTCCAATTACCCTCTATGCGGATGGCATCTGTCTGTACAGAGGACCATTTCGACCATTCCAAGAACAATCAACAATGCAATTTATTCAGGTCAGTTTCCTAAATACCTGTTCTACACTAGACAATAAACGCAATTCGGTGGATGAATTGTCGCTAGTGAGAGTCCGATTTTGGGCTCCAAAATATTTTCCTATAGAAACTGTTTGCTTTGCATTAGAACAGCCACCATTCGGATAGTGTGGGTAGAGTCCTGATCGACAATATCAACCTCATCATCATCATGATCATCATCATGATCATGATCAAAATAATCATCAAAATCATCATCAACATCATCATCAATATCATCATCGTCATCATCATCATCATCATCATCATCATCATCATCATCATCATCAATATCATCGACAGCATGCTTCGCTGCCGTACAACCATAATTTAATTGAAAGCCTTATTGTGAAGAAAACAAAGGTGGATGAAGAAGGGACTTAGTGCTGGCTTACTACAGTCATTGCGAGGTGCCTAAACCTCAAAAAACTCATTCAGGCAATCAGGATAGGAAACGACAACATGAATGCAACTGACATCGGTTGGCACTTCGCTGCCGTACGACCATGACTTATTTGAAGGCCTTATTGTAAAGAAAGAACAAAGGTGGATGGAGAAGGGACTTAGTGCTGGCTTACTACAGTCATTGCGAGGTGCTCAAACCTCAAAAAACTCATTCAGGCAATCCAGATAGAATATGACAACATGAATGCAACTGACATAGGTTGGCAGCCCTGTCTTGTAGTGTACCCAACCAGGCGCAGTGTCGATCACACGGTCCCCATCCTGGAAGTCGAGTAGCACTGACAGCACCCAAACGTTTCGTGATTTCTTTCATAATCTGCCATGCAACTGAAACGTGAAATGTTGTTTAAAGTTCAGATTTGTTCAGTTTCCAACAACCGTACTTATTGCGTTTTTTTAGACTAGTATGGTCCAAATTTGTCGTGCTAGCAGCCACATGCCGACTAGCACATGGGTGAGTGAGAGACCAGCCAGTCATTAGACAAATCCTACCCATGTCTACTGTTATGCCGACTAGCACATGGGTGAGTGAGAGATCAGCCAGTCACTAGACAAATCCTACCCATGTCTAATGTTACGGTTCAACCACGCAGTGAGCAAACGATTAGATATGCGGATTGTGGCAATACTCTATCCCCAGCTATGTTGCTTGATCCAGACTCCTAGCACGGCGAATAGTAAGAAGACGAAAAACCTCGGGCAACTTTAATGACCCAATCAAAACGCAATCAACAGGAGAATTAACGGAAATGACGATTCATAGTTTGACCTTGAAACGATACAGCGTTTTTGGAGATATTGATATCCCCAACACCTACATCTTGATCGCTTAGACGGATTGGGTTCTTGAAAAACAATTTTTAATGCATCTTTTGCTCTTAGCTTCACTTATCAAATAAAGCCTTTATCAAGGTAAGTCAGATAGAACCATACGTCCATTTGGTTTTCAAGGAATGAAATCAACAAGCAAAAGGACTCGAAAACACTGGCCTTAGGCATCCAAACAGTAGTTCTCTCCCCTAGAAATTATGCAATGACTGTACGCCTCCACTAAAGAGACAATTCAGGAGACACGGACTACTCTTAAATAGTCTCCTTCCAAGATGTGAATCTCAAACCGTCCAAGTTTTTCAACTGGTTCCTTTACCCTCTGATGGGAGATGTCACATTGAAGTTGTCATTGATCCGTTGTATTTGGTCAAATGTCACTTCGCTGGAGCAATAGCCCGCTACCTTAGCGAACTGCTTTTGACCGAAATGGATCTGGCTAGGTCGACGATTTAAGCGTGAATACACCGGCAGCAGCAAATGGTGAAATATACAATAATTGAGATGCTGATGAAAACCACCAAAGGTGAAGAAAAGAATGAAGGAATATGTGGTGACCCAATAATCATTGTTTTTTGAAAGAGGTTAAGATAAAAGTTCCAAGTGGTTGAACAGATTCCACTTCAGGTGGAAGCCGGATTAACGTTCATGTATGTCAGACTTTTTCACGGTTAATAGTCGTTTTCAGGATCTACCTGCGGCGAAGTGTTGCTTCACTGCAGTACTATCATCGTCGTCATCATCATCAGTCAACATGGTGCACTTGAATTCAATTTCGCAGAACACCTGAAATCCACTTGTTATCAGCATGAAGCCTCTACTTCACTTGAGAGTTCCTAATTGAGAAACAAATACGTAAACCCCACGAACGTGGAAACGTAACTCCCTTTTCATGTGCGCGCTTTGTTGTAGGACATCCTTGACGGTTACTTCCCCTCAGAGCTCCAAAGAGAATTTCCGGGTGGAGTACCTTTCAGTTTGACGGATAAGAGAACCGAATACTTCATTCACAAAGACCGATTTGGTCAGAATGGTTCACCTCGCAGGAAAGACTGTGGGTCATTGGAAGTGAACGAAACTCAAAAATCTAGCAAGCGCATATCAGATGATCCAACCGGACTCTCGAAAAACCACGGGTGGGTCTTTCTAGTAACCGTAAAACAACACCAAAAATAAACTGTGATGTTTAGCAAATGTGGTCAAACCAAGGTTTATGCAGTGATGCAAAACACAAGGCCATCAGTTGGGCGTTTTTTCTGCATTTCTATATGTTTTACGCATCATGATTCGGGAGGTATGTAAGCGTTCCTAGCTTTGAGAATTTAGCTAACTACTGGTTTTGGAGGTTGCAGTCAAAAACGCATTGCTCTTTGGACAAATAGAAAAATAAATGGTTGAACATTCAAAATTTCAGAAAGATTACCGAGCAAATTGATGTCTAGAAGAGTTATTCTTTATGTAAACCAGGTTCGTCAGAAAATAGCGGCTTTTAGTGAGCGGTTCTTTTTAAGTAGGCTGTATTTTGAATTACGCCCCACACAACCTATGCATCTTCAGTTTTTTATTACCGTTTCTTACTTTGCTGAGAGGTACAACTCTGGTCTCTCCGGAGGATAACAGGCCATTCCGCAAATAGTCATGAGATAAACAACTCTCCTGTCGTTTCGCTGAATAAACAGATATTGACATGTGTTGAACCACAAACTGGTTGTCACTTTGTACATTATAGTTCATCTTGGACGAGTAGAACTCAATATATTATGCCATATTCAGCAAGCAAACTGAAGACAAGGTTATGGATGAAACCCTCAAACGCTCATGCCTGTAGATGCGATGAGTTTTACACCCAACTAGTCGGGGAGTCATTTGCGTAAAGAGAACTGAATCCTAAATTGTCTTCCTCAAAGCGATTCTCAGGTACGAGTTTCTCAAGAAGTGAGAATGCTCTCGTCACGGTGTGAAAACTGGGAATCAAAAGAACGGTTCCACTTTTTCGAGCTTTGAGTGAACATCACTCAACCGAAAATTCTGAGGTAGCAAACTGTATGTACTACTTAAATTCCCCAAGGAGCTGAAGTTTAGAACCTCATGATGAAGACAGAGCGTGCAATATCAAAGCAGTCAAGCATTCAGTAATTCGGCATGACAAATTGGCAAACTCAAACCCTGTTCCATCCAATTCAATATTTATGGAAGTTCAAAAAGACTACTGACATTTGACAAGTACAGTACAGCCGGTTGAAAGTTCTTGAAAGGACGCTACTCTAGGCTGAAATTTCACTTCTCTCCAAACCTACCCCACAAGACTGAGGATTATGAGGGATCGACTTTAATTTTTCAAAATTCTTTCAGTAAAGTAGGTAGGAATCGTCCATAAAGACCGCGTGCACACAAAAACCGATAGCCCTAGCTTATTGTCACCCCTTGTCGAGAACCCTGATTAAGTCTGCTGATAGTTGCTCCATGTGCTTCGACCGTTTTCACACCGTGTTCGACCGTTTTCTTATCACTACAACATCCTCAAGGTGTGCGTTGTGTGAGTAGAACTCGAATCATCTGGCGATGCTTATCCAGTATCTACTAAATACACATAAGTATACGTGCATGAAGTCACATCATCGTCATCATTTTCGTGTTATATCTTAATAATAACCAACTCGACATACCGTGACCTCTGACCACAAGTTGAAACCATTCATGATCATGAGGTAGTTCTTATCTCCTGGAAACGCAAATGCACATCCAAACACCAGCACTAGATATCGCCATATCTTTTGTTGAGAATGTGCCACTGGACACTGCTCATGTTCAATCAAAGCCTGAGTAGATTTGGTTGAACAGGGCGTTATAAAGATCGGAAGGATTCAGGTAAACTGTGCTTGTCAAGGGATCGGATCATGACCATTTCACTTGTGTAAGAAAGTCGTGCTTCATAAATGGCAAAGCACACGATTGGCCAACGTGCGATTTCCATAAACCGCCGATCAAATGCGACACATTAAGCGTGCCACATTCCTTAAAAGTTGGTGCCTTCTACGGAATCGGTGCGTAAATCTGAAGAGTAGTCGCTCATTTTTTAAATTGTAAATACAAACCTCCTGTGGAACAGCAGCTGCGGTGTTGCGGAAAGTTAGATTTCCGACATTTGCAGTAGTTGGGCCTGCTGTAAGCAAAGCTTGGAAGGGAGCACAATTTACGCATATTGCTATCTTAATGCTGAGATTGTATCTATTGAGGCTTAAGTGTATGATCAATTTGTGGCACAGTTCGTGTGGCGATTACAGTTTGAACACAAACAAGCTTCTCGCTGTAGTGTACAGCGAGCAGGGGGGACGAAGGTGTAAGTCAGCGGAAATCACTGCAATTAGGTTCAAAATCCCGAATACGGGCATTAGACTAAATCACGAATTGATACAACGAAAGTTTAACCAGAGGGCGGCTATTACTACAACTTGGTTCTGTTTCCTTTTCGGCTCCCTTTACGTTATCCGCCCTTTCAGACGGACACACATTTCATAAAACGAAGGTAGTTCCCAGTCGAATATCCATCGAAATAAGTACACCATAAAGAGGTTACTTTCCCTCAGAATCTCATTTGTCAGAGCCAACCCAATCATACCATGTACACACAAAAAGTGATGCCACTTTATTGGCAAGCTGAATAACTTACCTACCATGGACAACAATTAATATAAAATAAAACAAGTGATAGCTTTTTGAGGTACTCTGCTTCCCTACTTAAGGGTGACATTCAGTCCATTGCCACTTCCTTTGTCTTCAGGTGTTGTCTCTAGGGACAGCAAACATGTTAAAATAGGTGAAAATATGTTTCTATTAAAATATTTCTGATCCCACCGGTGTTTCCCCAGGATACAATTCTAACTGTATGAAAATATCCAATCAGACCTAGTTACTCAATCAGTAGAAGAGCGCCAAAGCCGATTTTTCTGTTTTGACCTAATTCAAACAGCAACTGAGAACACATTAAAATCTCTTGTTCCCTCATGTTTTCAGCCACATACAAGGTACGGAGACGAAGCTCTTGGAAGAAGCTGGACTGTACCCGACTTTCGATCTTGAGCCGTTAACTATGGACGATCTGCTCAAACGGTTACCAGAGAAGTCAATCACCAAATCCGGTCAAATAGTTAACATTCGACAAGACATACAAGCAAAGGTTGGTGGTCAGTTCGGCGAATACGCTGTACAGCAGGTGAATCTCCAACCTCAGGTCAATGAAGACCTATCCAGCGTCGCTGGCGCGGTATCCAAATTCCTGTCACTCCGAGTCCGTTCAGAAGATGGGTCACACATCTACAATTTGCGGATGGCATCTACAGACACTGTGAGACAGCTATACAGCTGCCTGAATCTTGCTAGGTCGGACACAAATCCCTATCGTCTTGTCACAATGACCGCAGTACAGTCAACCAGTGCCAACATGACAGATCGGTATTGCCGTCAAACCTTGGACAACTTAGATGCGACCTTGGAAGAAGCTGGTCTTGGAACTAGAACAATGCTACGTATGGAGAAGACGAAAGAAGTGAAATTTTCCTCAGATCTGAGCAAGCTGTTTACTGACCCGGTTCTAACACAACGCGAATGGAAACCACCGACATCATTGACCGCTGGTCGCGAAGCTGTGGATGGAACACATAGCCAAACGAACAGCGAAAATGGCTGTCAGACAACACGAAGACAGGATTAGTCTCCAGTGACCGAGGCAACGCGTTGTACATAAGGTCACGGACGGAACTTCCCTATTCGTGCTTGTCAGCCCGATGGTCAATAACAAACTTACCGGCTCTAATTTGTTCTTCTGCATGTATGTCTGAGTTTGTATATTACAGGTAGAATGTCAGGCATATTACGTCGGAGAAAGTGATTGTGTGGCGTTGCAAAGAGACCCTCATCGGCATCGGCTGGCTGACAAATTAGGATGCTACTGAACCTGGCTGGATTTTTCCTCTCCGGACAGGCTATGTTTGGATATTGTCCTTTGTGTTGGGCTAAAACCGATCATCTACAGCAACGCAGTCAAGAGTTGCTCATATAGACAACAAGAATTTCGAAACAGAAATTTCCACTACCCGACCACATTTGGCATACCTAAATCTAGCGGAATTTACAAGCGCATGGCCCGATTCTTACTGGGTTATCTTCCGGGAGCAGGTTTACGTTAGATAACTTGAATGTATACTAGTCTAATGGTGTATGCTACTGGTGAGGGACGCGAGTAGTCTGGTCGTTTGGAATTTCCACCCACGTCTTATGGAAGATGGAGTTTATTATGGAACTTGTAGAACCGCCTTGCAGTATCCATTTACATTTGTGTAATTATGAAAGCTCAAGAAGACGCGTAAAAGTCTGCGCGTATGAAAACTTTACTTTCCTGTCCAATAGTTTAACTGGTTAGTCGATGTTTGTTAACGAATGACTGCGCGGCGAAGAATTTTCCTCCTTTCGCCAGTGGTTTGATTTTTCTGTCTCAGCTTTGGGTGCACCAAGAGCACACCTTATAAGGGTGGATGACTCCACATTTACTTTTATGAGGTGAGTGGCATGTTTTTTATCCAACTTAATCTGGTTTTGCTCCGCGCCTCATGTGGAGCTAAGTTGACTGCCCTTGTTGGACAGAATTCACGCTGAATGGTTGGACGTGTTGGACGATAACATTCTGAACTTCAAACAAGCTCCGAGATAGAAGCCTCTTCCTGGGGATAGGCACAAAAACATAGAAATCCATCTTGAACGCCTTCGCTTCGGATAATCTGCTACAGTAGCGTTAAAGTGACAATCAGCTAAGCGTTTTCACGTGGCTGGCAATAAATTACTGTTTCACGTTTTCATAAGGCTATGTAATGCTTTCCATAGTTATCCAGTATTAATGAAACGGGTCATGGTTTTGATATGAATGGGAAAAATACGAATAGCATAACAAATTGGTTTGAAAACCACTAACGAAGGGACGAAACTCATTCGGAAGACAAGAAATCAAAACCATGAGTTAAACGAGAATAGGAAGGACACCCTTGTGTATTATTTCTGGAACTTCAGTCAAACGCTTATGGAAAACCAGAGTGAAATAGAACGTGAAGGTTCGACTTGACTAAACCACATCCCTAAAGTCAAATTTGGTGGATTTTCCTCATTGATAATACGGGTGAGTTCATATCAAATGACCGTGGGTCGTCTTAAACTGCTGGGTGGGGGGATAGTTTGTTGGATGCAGCAGGCGGGTGCAAGCCAAACAGCCACGCGATTCAGATGCTGTCATGCAGATGACCGGAATAACACAAATTACAGTAAAACATTAGAGTTTCAGGTCCAATAATATCCTAATTGGAAATAGCTGTGGAAGTTGGCCAAGTTAGGCAACATCTTGACTTCTGTTAGCAACTGCCATGTGTATCCGATATTGGTCTTGAAAATGCCATTTTTAACCCATAGGATACGGGCTGGTGCATCTTATAAAAGCTTTTGTGAGATCAGCGAAGAATATATTGGGATAGCATGGGACTGAGTTTGAAGTTGCACGACAAAAGTTTGGACAAACTGATGAAAAGTCTTTTGCAGAGGATTTGGACTGGGCGCAATTGAGATACGCTTACCTTAGGTGTGCTGAAGCGGGTTCTTTGCCCAAGTGCTGAGCCTCAACTCCAGTTGGTTTTATTCAGTTGTTCCGACAACCCCATGAAGTTCATGAAGTTCAGCTTATATTCAAGCACATCAGCCGCGTTATGTGCGAAATGAGGTAACAAGGAAGGAGGTTCACAGCAAACCTGTGAACATTTGGCGACGATCGTCATCACCTTCAACAGAGATTAAACTGTGAGTTTGGAGGAGTTTAACCACAGTATGTCGGTATCAGTTGGTTCAAGCAAAGCCAAACAGTGGGAAAAGAATTGAAGTGAGATCCGGGTAAGCGACTAGTAGCACTTACGTATGGATTAAATATTACCGAGGAACATATCTCGATCACATTTTACACTGGCTGCGATATCCAACTGCTCTCTGAGACCACGACATCCACGGAAGTTTCAGTTGTCTCACTTCCATTACACTTTCATTTCGGAGACCGGATCCAAGCTTGATACTCGAAGTGTGGGAAAAGTGTCCTGATGGTAACAATTTCATGTTTGGAATACATTTGCCTGCATTCGAGCTGAGCTAAGTGGTTCGCGCCTTGCTCTCGGGTACTGTCCTAAGAATATTAACAGCACACTACGCTCATTTGCGAACAAATTCGGTTTTACGAGAGACTCACCTGGAACCTAACTGATCTATAAATACCAACAGCAGTTTACTTCGAACTGGAGTGATTGTGGAGTTTAAAGTTCAATTAAAACGTACTTTCAGTGAAACCTCGAGGAGTGCGTTTATCTGAATAGCCACAAAACGTGTCGAAAGTTTATGGGCTGTCGAAAGGCTTTCAGCAAATTCTTGAGTAGAATACTCCTTTGAGGAATGTGAGATGTGTGAATTATGCAACCACACAAATTTTTCAGATAGATTTCTGTTCAAAAATGTTGCTGTGTTCTAACTTAGCAAACTTCACAAGTAGTATGTGAGGGATCGATCTGGTCATTATCATCTATCTATGTGTAAGTCATGCAGATAGAATCCACCAAAAACCGTAAAAATGTAACTTAATCGAACGTTCCTCATCACAGTAGCCGGAAAATTGTGGAGATCACTGTGCCTAAAACGATATTAGGAAACCGACTGAAATGCGCTCTGTTAAGTCCCCGGAAACTTTCCAACTGACAAAAACCGACTAATACTCAAACCGTAACTCCATAGATTTTAATCTTCAAAGGAAAATCCCTGGGCAACTATATGCAAATCCGTTTTTTTGTTTGGTTTTCTTGTTGGAAATTTTTCAGTGAATCAGTGACAATAGTTAATATGCATTCAAAAAAGCTATTACAAGGGCTGTAGAACGTGACACAAGCCGGCTGAGTTGACTGCGATTAAGTGCACTTGCGGTCCGCACAGAAGAGGAGTAGTGTAATAAATGTGAATTCACATCATAAATACACGAGATGCAAACAAACGATAGACGCTAAGTGTAGGAAATGGTCCCGTTTCCTGATGACTTCTGTCGTAGACCAGCTAGCATTGCACCCTTTAGATGGGCAACAAACTGGTTACATGGGATTCAAAAAAAAATTCCGAACGAATTCGACAGATGTAATTAATTGAACATCGCATCCTTTTTCAACTAATGAAGGCAAAAAATCTAAAAATTGGTGGGCATAGTGATCGACCTGTACTATTAGGTGAGCATACTCACCGTTCGCATTCCATCCAGAACCCAATAACTCAGATGCTGGAGAAACTGCCAATTTTCCGTCTCACACTCTGTGCCAGAGAAGTCTACTTTCTCAGACAACTGGCGAAGCCGAATAGAAAAAGGAATCAGCAGATCTAAATTAGAAGTAGGCACCTTTTCGCACAGTACATTAAAGGATTTATATCAGGACTAATTTGAGCAAGTGTTCTTTGTATCTGGAGTTTAATTTCATTCTTTTTTTTGTGATTACTTATGAACAATAAAGTACTACAATTATTGCATTTTCCGCATTCGGCGGCTTCGCCCAAAAAATCATGATATTCTGAGAAATACACTCATTTGCAAAGCAATTTGGTTTTCACGATAGACTGAACTGAACCTCTCGTTTATGATATTCTTCAACTGAATGAACGAGAGATTCAGTTGAGTCTCTCGTGAAAGCCAAATTGATTTACAAATGAGTGTATTGCTCGAAAACAGTCCAATTTGGGTTCAAGTAGAACATAAGGTTGAAGGAAACTCGAGGACTGCGCCTACCTGATGAGCCCCAAGAAGGGCGTAACCGGTCGTGGGCTGTCGAAGATTTTTCAGCAACCTTGTGAGTAGTTTCCTCCATAATATTTTGCTTTGCAGATAGCACTTTGTATGTTTCTCTCACCCCTTGAAAGATCGTTGATAAGGAAACCATTTGGCCTGCCCTTTGTTCCTCATGTTGTTTTCAGTTGTTTTGAAAACAAGCAAATCCGACTAACCTTACCAACTTCACCGTCGTGCATTGAAAATGCTGTTAAAGAGACTGATCCCCGAGTTCAGCAAGCACTGTATTTTTTTCGGTTGTTGTCATATTTTTGCGGATTCTTTAAAGCTTTAGCTGGGCTGTTTAAAACGAGGCAGGTAGGAACATTCACACCTAATGCATGAAAAAGGGAATCTTTTGGACACAGTTGTTTTGTTTGCCTCCTCTCATTGACAAAAACCCGGCGTTCTCAATTGCTGATTCAGCTTGTTAAATTGCGCATATCGGGTACATTTTCCTATCTATGAATATTGATATAGCGTTACGCGCAATTCCAGAATGTCCATGGTTCAAACCTAACCTCGGTATCTTGACTTCCCCTGTCTAGGTTTGAGTAATGTAATAGAATCTCAGACTTCATGTTACTTTTGGATGGCAAGATAGTGATGTAGCGAAATGGTGTTACAGCTAACCGACTGTTATTTATTACCAGTATGGGTAATAGTTAAGCCCTGAGGTGTGCTTGCATCCTGATATCATGTCTTTGATGGACATGAGATGTGGTTTTATGGGTGTGACCCAACGATGTTGTACAAACGACTTGTCAGTAAGCATAATGATGACATACAGTTACTTGCGTGTCCGTTTTGTTTGACTCTTAGTTAAGATCTATTTGCACGGGACTGGGTGTATCCGGTTTTAGCTGGCTAGCAATATATAAGCGCTCTTATCGTTCTCACATCCATGGTCCCCCTTCTGCTCTGGAGCGCTTATTTTAGTCTATTCCCCTATCGGAACTCAGCAGCAGCGTTTACTGCTTAACTAATTCATCAATTATCTAAACCCCATAACAAAAGTACTGCTGAATACAACCTGCATATTTGTCCCAAGTATTGTATCCACAAACGACACCGGTTAAAATGGTTTAGAGTAACGCCAACGGCTTAAATGGAACAGATTACCAATGAAGTTTCAGAGACTAGTAAGAACAATCTCTCGATATAACAACGGGTGCTAGCACAAACGTCAGCATGCTCAGTTGTGGGTTTCTACTTGAAGATCGGAGTGGTATTTTTCGCGTCAGTCAATGAAAGTCCCGCTTACCATTGCTTTCTGCATAAAAAACGTACTTGTTGTGGGGGCGATGTCCCGGTTCATTTTGTGGCTCGTCTAAAAAATGAAGTGGCTTGCACAGTTGCAAGCTGCCTTCATTGATTGATCCCTTTTTTGAGGGTATTGTCGCTGCAGTAGTAGCTTTCGAAAAACTGAACGCCTGCTTTGCACTAGAAGTACACCCGAACTGTGGTTGCTCTTTCGTCCCATGATGTTCCATGCACAATAAGGCGTACAGCGTGGTATTTATAAGGTTGGTGGGAATTTGTAGACTGCGTCTACCTGATGAGCCTCAAGAAAAAGGAAACCACTGGTAAGCTACTAAGAGGTTTTCAGTAACCTAATCAGTAGTATGTTCATTCAAGAAACCTTACTGTTCAGAGCATGCATAAAAACAATAAGCCGAATAGTTCGGTGTACTCTTAATCTACTAAGCAAGAATCCTTTTTTATTACAGATGGATCAGATATTTACGAAAGACAATATCCTTGCATTGCAACAACTCTTGCGTGATCCGGATGAGAGTGAAAGTGAATCGGAAGAGGTGCGTTTTCCTATTGAATTTTTCCAAAACTTCAAACCGGCCCTGAGCTTCTATACTTACATTAAAGTTATACGGGTGAGCAAGCAGCAAGCGGGCTTTAGACACTGGTCAACAGAATGAAGGTTTTCCTCTTCAAAGGCTGAATTTCTATGGGATCACGGTCTAGGCTGTGACTACAGGTTTTGGTTATCACTCCACATGAAAGTAAATTTACTAACAACTTTGTCATGTAATTTGCTTAACCATAGGTTTCCACATGTATCGCTATTACTTCTGGACCGCAGGTCATTAGAAGTTTTCAAAGTGTGGGTTTTTTCACTTCATGGCGAAAAACTGCTAAAAAGCAGAATTTCACTTTATAATTTGTGATCACTACTGATCGTGGTCAGTAGTATAAGGTGTTCCGTACGGAGAGGAAATTTAGAGACCGCTACATTTGGCAAAGTAACTAAATAATCTAGCTTTAGGGAGTGTTTTATTCTGATGGTGGTACATGATATCACCCATGATATCACCCTTCTCCATAGATGGACGCTCTCCCCTTACGTTGTGAAGGACCCAGTTTACCCATATTCCACAATATTGCCAGATATATGAACTTTAGGTGGAATAAACGCAACCGGCATGTAGAAACAAAGCATCATAATACTAACACAGCCATTTTGTCTTTTTTAGAAGAAGCCATCCGTTGCTCAAATGAAGCCCAGCGATATTGGACCAAAACCAAGAAGTCTGTCTCTTGTGGTTCCTTATATTTATCTGGCTGTGTGCAGCAAAATCCAAGAAGGAGAAGCAACCACAAAAGATTCGAAATCCAGATGAAATATGGGATGTCGATGAAGTTCCCGAGGGCAATGAATATGGAGATATTTACGATCCAAGACCGCAGCCCGAGTGAGTTGCTTTGTGTAGCAGTATTACACATACGGTGCAGATAAGAAATCCAAGTTCATTGTCACTTGGAGACTCACGAGGCCTTGTCCCAAACAGACCAAATAGGAGCGCCAAACTGAGTAGCGCATCCATAGCATTGGCTAAGGAAATCCAAAAGAAATAGAAAAGTAAATAAGATCTTAATACAGAAGTTATGGCCTTATTCTGCTGAAATATTTTTAGGGATAACGAACATAAACACATCTTTTGGTAGGTTGTTGTCGAAACCAAATTCTGGTCAATAACAGTAGTATTCGTCCTTCAACACCGAACACAGAGACAATGAAATATCAGTTTGGCAACATATGACATGTGGTTTGTACAGAAAATTTGTTTGCAACTAACGTTTGAGTTTTCAGTGCATAAGTTGACAATGTTTTGACGTCACTGTAGGTCAGAATAATGCCAACAAGTACAATTGAGTTGCTACTGTTTGTTAAATGTCGAGACGGGCAACGGTACTCCTTAAGTTGACTGTCCTTTGACAAATGCACTCATTCGCATCTAGAGGTCATGCCTTTGAACAATAAAGCCGTATGGATCGCCCGACACGGTGTAAACTCTTCCCTTAACGAAAAAACCTGATGTCGTGTCGCCGTCATAGGTGCCGGACATTAGCACAATCTGTCCTGGTCTTCGTGGTTCGAGAAGTAATCTCATCTCCGGCCAGTCTACCAGAGCTCATGCAACTACCCAAGTAGGCAAATTTGTCTGCCACATTTATTGGCTCGCCTGCTAGCATGAGGTTTGGGTTTGATCCAACCAGGTATTGTAACAACACTTTACACTTTGCAAGTGTGAAACACATGCCAAACCGTGCGGCAGAGTTATTCAAGTCATTTAAAATCGTTTGCACTTTAGAAGGATCTGAACCACGAGCAAACGTCCTAGGAGCATTTCGACTGCCGAGGTTTCAGAGGCAGGCAGAGGAATTTCAAGCAGCACTTAATAAAAAAGTTCAGGAGGAAAGGTTAGAGAGAGCGGTCTTGTCTTACACTACTAAACGTGGTGAACTCAGGCAAGAGTTTGCTGTCTACTCATACCAGTCCATAGAATTTCGCATACAGCACACTCATACTGCATGTAAATTTGGAAGGGATGCCTTTGATCGCCAGACACCGTCAAAGTTTCGGACGATCGACAGAATCAAAAGCAGCTTTCCGATCAAGCAAACCATAGTGCTATCAGCCTGGATTCCTTTGTATCTAAAGTGCTCTCTGGCATTATTTTTCACAGGTTAACCGCTTATTGGGAGAGACAGATTCGTGAAAATCAGGATGAGCTTCGATCTGGCCCAATTCACTGCCAATATCCTTACCTTGGAATAAATTCTTGAACAGCACCCATCCGTGCTAAGTCTCTCGTTTATAATCTTGGTCTTTAGCTGAATGTACTGCGGAAGGTTGTCTCCTGTTTCAGTTGGTACACAGGTAGACATCGCTGTGCATTGTCTCAGCGGGATGTACCACTCATAAAGCTGTTGAAAATTTGAGAATCCAAAACCGTTTCTTGGGGGTCCTCATGCAGCCAGAGTCTACAATTTCCATCAAGTTTGCATTTTCCTGAACCCAAACTGTACGCGGTTCGGAAACTACACTTTATACTTTTGTACAATTATGCATTTTGTCACAAGGGAGAACATCCTGTTGGCGAAGACTCTAAGAATGCAGCTATCTCATGATCTCTACGAAGAACAAAACCGATGGTGAGCAGTCGGTGTGTTTTCCGTAGGCGCATGAGTAATGTGTTCTTCCAGGAAAAAGAATGATTATTACGGCTGAGGAGAAGAGTTGTTCAAGGTAACTTTAGTCTAAATTTAGAGTGGGTACACTATGTATATGAGATTTTTTAAAAGCCAGCACGCTTTTAAAGACTGTAATAGATGAAGTATCTCCTGAACACGCCATTTACAATCCAGAGAGAGGTACTGGAAGTTGTGGAGCGTTTTACGTATCTTAGAAGTTGTATTAGTTCTGGTTGTAGTGTGACAGTTGAAGTGAATGCATGAATCTGCAAGGCTTGGGTCGCGTTTGCTAATTTGGGACACCTATGTCGTCAGAATGGTTTATCCCTGAATCTGAAGGGACGTG